AAACCAATCAGGACACTTATACTTAAGTTTGTGCGTGTTGTATAAACATTTGAATACGCCAAAGCCAAGGTTTAAACCTCAGTTAACTCTAGATAAGCCTTTTGGGAAACAAGGCTATGCGAAATTCAATGGAAACGTAAGGTTTACTTATATCACCGTGGAAAAATTAATCTAACAGTCGTCACCTTGAATGAAACATTGTGAACGCATCTCATATATCTGATTTACTGGTAACCTCGAAATCCTACTTACAAACGATAAATATTTAATGTAGTCGATTGCTTTGGCAAATATAAGTTTTTCTTATTGACATTCTCACCACTGAATATGAAATAGGAAATGCCTGGCCTTGAAATTAACATCCGCTCTTTAACCTAAGGGCACTAATGGCAATGTGGCGCAGGGGTTAAGGTTTCGAGATTATTCGCTACACTGTCATGGTTCAAGTTCCCCTCCGAGTGTTAATAAGACCTAGGTGAGTTCGAAACTCCAATCCACTCTTATTGAGAATATCTTGTGGGAAGCAAGGCTAAATGAAATTTTAGGAAAACCTAATGTTTACTCATATCATTTTGGAAAATTCAACTACCATTTTTTTCATCACATTAAGCAAAATAGGATGAACGCATCTTATGTATTGTGGTTTACTCCCATCTAATATGCTTAAGAGAACGCGCCACTGGAGTAAATCAGAATAAAAATGATTTGGTCAAGGAATGGAATATTATCTTTGACGATTTAAAGCTTTGCGCTAGGAATAATGGAGTTATCTGATTAGATCCTTTATGATGCTAGCGAAACGCTTGTGAATCTTACTTCCAGGATTCGACGCTTGCGGCTATCATGCATAATATAGCCTACGACTCCCATACTGATATTTTGTACTAAACATTAGGATATTATCAGTTTAGTCAAGGATATTTGCTAAGCTATCAGTTCTATATGATTTACCATTATATTCTCTTTTTTTATTGTCTAAAAGACTTTTATGTGAAGACTAGCTGGCAATGACTGAATCTATTATGCAAAGAATTTTTAAAATCTAAATTTCTTTATTTAAAGTCAAATTTAGTTTTTATCATAGCGATATTCCTAATTGTTCCACTGATTTAGTAAAAATTTTTGAGTACTCACTTTATAAGTAGTACTATCGTGTGATTCAATTATCAATACAAGTTTGCCTTCTCGCTAACAATTGCACAAATCTGATATAGAATGTGCGTGATTTTCCTTAAGAGTCACGCTTAATTTGTGTCTTATTGGTTTTAGCTGCATGATTGTGTAGAAACCATTTATCGCTTAAAAATCAGATCCACTTCGCTATCCCTTTGCAGGTACGAATCATGTCTAGTCTAGTTAGAAACTCCGGTCAATCATGGATGATAAAGCCTTTTGAGACAAAGCTAAGTTGACTTCTTTGCTTAGTAAGGACCTTACTTATTTGATTGTAGACCACTCAACTATCACCCAACCATCACATACAAAGATCTAAGGTCGCTCCGGTTCTTATAAAGATTTCATAGAGCTTTAAGTGTTGATCCTTCTGCCTATATTAATAATTCCATACATTGTTCAATAACGTTCTATAAAAAACTATTTCGCTCCTATTCATTATACATATGAATTCAGCTCACTTGATTTGGGTGCTTCATTGATGTCTGCTTGGCCTTCAGCTTTTCGTCTCAAGCTACGAGGAGACAGCGATCGCCTAATAGAAGAGTGGATGTTAGCGGCCAATATTGCCGTTGCCCGCTCTCTATACGCTGGGGTACAACATTTTTCATCATCACATGGCCTTGACAAAAATCCCTTGTATACACGTAAATTTGAGGCTCTGTTACGTGCACACGAACCAATACGGATCGACCTGGTCCATGATCTGGCCCGTCTAGGGAAAGCAGCGCAGCTTAAAGTTGATTTACTCCGAGATGAAACAACCCTAGGAGTTAATATCGTGTTTTAGATACTATGAATTACAGTATCATCTTTGCCTTAACTTATGATTGCTTTATCGAATTATTTTTAACTTAACCTTGAATGTTCCTTGTCATTTTGCTTAGGAAAATTATTATATTACCAACTAATTAATTACTTT